AAGCCCCGGCGGGCAGAAGCGCTCCAGGGCCGCCCGGGCGCGCAGCTCCGCGCCTCGCCTCGCCCTCGAGGCAGCCCGGGAAGGACACCGCTGTGCCCGCGGCGAGCCAGCAGCGCCCCCCGGCCCGGATCGCTCAAGCGCGTTGCTTTCAGCGGGCGGAGGTCCCGCGGGAGGGCAGCGGGATTCGGGATCGGGGGCCAGTTTCCTTCCTGGCGAGCTGGACTCCTCGGGAGTTCACAGCACCCCTTGTAGGCTTTTCCAGCTTCCCAGTCCTGGTGGTCTCCCATCCATCCCGCTCAGGCCACCCCATCCTCCGGGGGACCCAGGATAGGCAAGACCGGCCGAGCCTCCAATCTGCAGCAAGTGAGTCTGCCTCACAGAGTTTTCCCCTGAAACCAACTCCCCCGTATGTAGCATTCAAATTATAACGGAGCACGTCCATGGTCATAAAGGGTGCCGTAAGCACCAGGGTGCAACCAGTGCAGTGGATTTCAGGCTCCCAGGGGCTGCCCCATTTTCCACGGGGTCTGTCTAAAACCAGCTGCAAAGGGCCCACAACGATGAGTCATTACAATCAGGGATCTAACGAATGTTGACACCACCAGCGCACAAGACAGTTTTTGTTCTGTTTTTTGCCCAAAGGCATCAGATCTGCAGTTGTCAGAGAGGTCAGTTTGGGTAGATGGACAGCCCTGGATGGGGTCCTTCTGGGATACAAGTGATGTCACAAGCCACGGGATTTGTCAAAGATAAGCGGGGGAGTTATCTAAGGGCTGCAGCCCTATTGATACTGCAGTTTTCTTAATATCCAAAGATCATCCAGCAAAAAACAGAACAGCCCAGGGTGCTCGGCTCCTATCCAAATCCAACCAAACTCCCCCAGGGCTTCCAGGACTAGAAAGACTCAAATTTCTACCACAAATCTGTTCTTTTCCTGGACAAAAATCCACCCTGGAACATCCCCTTCCCAGCTAGCCACCCTGACCGACTCATGCATCATGGACTCTCTGATGAAACCAGGTTTCCAAGGCACAACGTTTTCTCACACGTTCCCAGCAGAGCCATGAAGAGCTAACCAGAATTGTATACTAACCACACAGCACTACTGGAGTAGTAACAGTAGCTGAAACTGTTCCCGCCACCTTCTCCCGGGCTACAGAAGAGGCTCCCAAGAGCAGGTAAACTGCCTGACTCCCAAGGGTGGCAAAGCCTGAATCCTTTATTTACTGGGGTGGTGCCAGGCACGACTCTGTCACTCCCTTCGAGACGAAATGTGCCTTCCTCGCACATTTGCTGGCTTCGTTCTGGTTACAGTCAGAATTTACTGCCGTTCTTAAAGACGTTATGCGCCCACCTAGGGCAGCCGGAGATGTCCTTTCCCCCCTTGGAGACCGTTCCTCTGGGTGGGGGCTGTGTCTAGGCAGGGCTGCCCAGCCTCCAGCCTACCAGAATCCACCTCTAACTGATTTTCCTCTGCTGGTTGGAAGCTGATGCTAAACAGGAACTGAGGCATCACCTGGAAAGCCCCTGAACAGGTCACCCAAGGCACCGATAGGTCAGTCTGGGGTTCCCACCCTGGAAGCAACGCCTCCTCCCTAGAAAACCCCAACTGGCCAACCGGCTGCGTCTACGAGAACCTGGCAGGAAATCCCCAGGCAAGGATAATCCAAGCCTGAAGCTCCAGGGAAGTGGAAGTCACAAAATCAGATACATTTTTCGTTTCCACGTCGCTTTCTCTGGAATGGCTGCTGACCCTTCCTGACACCTCTCTGTGGGGTTTTTAAAATAAGGGCACTGAATTGAAGTTGGAGTTGGTTTGGTCTTTTGATCTACCCCGAGGAGTGGTCTTACACCCAAACAGTCTGCTTTCCAGGGGTGTTTATGAGAAGCCACAACGTCACACCCATCTTGACGCTATGATGTGCAGGACTGCCCTTGTCTGTCCTCGCTCCCTTCTCCTGAACTCAGCTGCCTGCAGAAGGTTTATCTGGGCTCTGAACAGCCTTCTCCAACCAGTGCCCTCCAGGTCTGTTGGATTTCTGCTCTTACAATTCCCAGTTATTAATCGCAGTGCTTGGGAAGCAAGATCCAGACGTCAGGCTTGGAGGCATCTGCTTCCAGCGCACTCAGAAAGTCTTCTTAAACTGCCCTCTGCAAAGAGAGGACCATGTGGCCTCGCCAGGTGGCAGCAGCTGGCCAACCTCAGCTGGCCTTGGAAAAGCTAAGCAGATCCAGGCCTGGTTAGTCCTTGGTGGCAGACTACCTGGAAATCTTGGAGTTGGTAGCTAGATTGGGAAGTTAAAACAACAACAACACTCAGTGGCAAATTGCTGCATATTGTTGCTAAGATCAAGATGTGGCTGTGGTCCATGGAGCAGGTTGAGGTGAGATCCTTCCCTTTCTATGTTTTAGTGAAGAAAGACAGGAGAAACAAAGTAGAGGAGTCTTGGCAGAAGAATATTTAAAGGTAGGTAGAGCTGCCTTCAATCATTCACCCTGTTTGTTATAAGAGATGCATACTATATTTACACACGCACACATTAGTTCATGGGAATATGCTGAACCTAAGAAGATTGTCCTGGGAAAAAAAATTAGATGGTCATTAAGAGTCAACACCAACCTGATGATGCATAACGAAGCACAAAGAAGAATAGAGCAGAGGAGGGTCGTTGAGGAGCCAAAAATGATAACAGTGATTTCTAAAGAGCGTGACGCACAAGGGTGACTAGAGGGAGAGTAAGAAAATTCAAGGTGGTGCATCACGTATGTAAAAATGGGCGGGGCTTTGACTGTGCAGTCACAACCATTCTAACACACACACACACATACACACACATAGACACACACCAACAGATACCCCTAGTAACAAAGCTGGCCCAAGCGAAGGTCAGAAGACATCCTAGCCCTTGCAGCGATCAGAAGATGATTCTCAGCTCTTTTCCATCCAGAGGGCAAGATGTTGGTTGCAAAGAATTAGAATTAGGGGAGAGATCAAGGTCCAGGGAAACCAGGGGGTGACAAAGACAGAATCAATCCTGTGCAGAGGGATACAAAAGAAAGTTGATGGCGTCTTGCTCCTGACTGACAACTTGAAATAATAATATTTCATGACTTTTTTTGTTCGTAAGTCTTGCACCGCGTTCACACCTGCTTTCAAAATTGGTTGGGAACCAAACTAGCAAGTCAAGGAGAAGGAATTGGGGTATCGGTGAATAAGAGGCATTGGATCATAAAGGTCCATGGATGTGGGATGCTGACAGGGCGGTTGTCAGAATGGCTTACCAAGCCAAGGGAAGTCGGGAGGAGAAAGAGGGAGAGTGGGAACTGAGTCACCATCTATTTTCATCTGGAAGAACTGACCGGATTTCCACCTGTTCATTGTAGGACAGAGCATGTTTTTTTCACAGAAGTCAGCAATCTTCAAACAAACTGAGCAACAAGAACGATTTCATCAAAAATCTCACTTGAGAAAAGCTTTTAAGATGTTAAAACCTTGCACAGATTTCTTAACGATTCCACCGAGAAACCAGTTGCAGAAAGAACTGGTGAGTCACTCGTTCTTCAAGTTTCTTCCTCCAGCAAGAGGGAAGGGGGCTTCACGTGAGCCTCTGGTTCAAAATCAGCCTTGGGGTGAAGATTAGGCACCATGTTTGCTAGTGGAATTACAGGTATCCTTTTTACAAAGTACCATTTTCTGTCTAAGGAGCACAATCCTCTACTCATTTGAGTCCGTTATGGTCCGTTGAGTCAAGCATGACTCCTGGTGACCACAGAGACAAGTCCCTGAAGTTTTCCTGGCAATGTTTTTGGAGGTGGGCTGCCCTGGCCTCCTTCTTCCTGGGGCTGAGAGAGAGGGAGTGGCCCAAGGGCACCCTGTTGGCTTTGAGCCTAAGGCAGGACTAGAACTCATGGCCCCCTGGTTTCTAGCACCTTTATCCACTGCATTAAACAGCTTCTTTCTACTCATTTAAAGGAGATGAATTAGCATTGAAGTCAGGGAATTTTCCAAACAGACAATACCATTGCATCGTAAAGAGCGGTATTTGGGAGAGAATTATATGAGGAGGAAGCAGAGTTGAGAAACACGGCTTTGATGTTTTTACCATCATGCAATCAGGATCCATCTTGATCTTAGGAACCTTCAGTTGTGAACTTGTCAACACAACTGCGTTGCCAGCAAATATGAAACATGAGATCACAGGTAACAAGGTTAAAATGCACCAAACTGGGGGTTGGCCTGGTGCTCCTTAGCAACGTCATCCAAAACTGCATTGGGGGGCTTCTTCTACTGAGAGGGCAGGTCTGAGGACCTGGGCTCACGAATGTCCACAGGGTGCGTAAAAAAGGCAAGGTGGTGGCCAGGACTCTGTGATCAGAGCTCTGCCTGTTTTTGCCCACAGAAACAGGCAGAGCTTGGGTGGCACCATTGAGGCCGCCATCTTGACCTTTCTGACCACACCCTGTGGACCCCCCTGCTTGAAGTGCCTTGCCTCGGACCCAGGTTCGCCTCCACCTTCCTAGGAGCGCAGCTCTGATACTCTAGCTGCGGAAAAAGACCTTCCTGCGGGTTTATTTAAACGTTTATCACCCAAGCAAATGGTCTCAGTGCAGGAAGGGCAAGCAGCTCCCCCCCCCCCACTCCGCCCCGGATCAACGCCATCCCCACTGAGCAGGAGAGTATTCCGGGCCCTTTGGGGATTAAAGGCAAGACCTTAGAATCAGGGTTGCTGCGCATCATTCCGTCATTTGGGAAGGGTGGCACGGGGCCACCCAGGACTTCGCTGCGCGAGCGCTCAAGGTCCGGGGCGACCCCGCTGCCGTGGCCGAGAGCAGGGGGTTGCCCTCGACGGGCGCTGCTGCCGCCGCCTTCCTGGGCCCCGGACCCCGCCTCGTCCTCCCCCGCCCCCAGACCCGGCCGGCCTCCCCGACCCCGCGGGGG